TTAAGATTTTCTTGAAGAAGAACTTAAATCATGTGCTTACAGACCTGTTTTGTTTTTGGAATTACTATTATGAAGTATTAGCGGGGGCGATGCTTTAAGTTTTAATTCCCGTTAAATTTAGTGGAATATGTAAACTCGTAAAAGAGTTAATGGTTACTTTATTAGCTTAAGACTAATATGAAGCATTTAATATTCTTAGTTGCAATTTTTACTTGTAGTAATATGTGTTAATCTTGCATGGAATGAATTATAAATTTATATGTTTCACATATAAATAATTGTCTATTTTGCCTATCTATCATTTTTTGCAATGACTTAACCATAAAGAAGCCTCAATTAACCATGAAGATTATAGTTCTTTGTGCATTACTACCATGTATGTAGAAGAGATACTGAATTTTCTAGAAGCACATGAACAATTAGACTATACTGGCATATGAATTGATCTTAGAAGGATTAATTTAGCCGAGAAACGATATAATCTTGAAACTAAGTATTTAATACTTTAGCCCGAAAACTAAAAGTTTATGTCCTACCCTTAATGTGTTGTTGTAGACTAAATAGTACACTTAATATGTGTTTTTCATGCTAGAACCAATGAATACTAGAAGTATGATTGGATTATATAGAACATTAGAAATGATTATTCGCAGATGATGCATAAAGCATATTAATACTTGAAGTAACTATGGTATGAGAGGGAGGAATTTTTGGGTAAAGACATAAAAAAATATGGGTAATATATATTTAATAGACATAGCCTTTTTAAATCTATCTTTAAGTGCATGTACAGGACTTGAAGTCCTAGTCGCGTTCCTTCCAACCGAGTTAACTTTTTCTGCATTGCGCTAATTGCAAGCAAGCTTGTAGCGCATTTTGTTGTTATCTATTATGTTGGATTGAATACCAACATTTCACATTACACTTGAATGTGTATCACTATATTGTGCTCTCATCGAGCTGCAACTATCACCACTCCTGCATGAATATTATCATAGAAGTTATATTTGTAGCTAGTAGCTACCTTGCATTTCCCCTATAATTAGATTGGCTAGCTAGTACGCTATGCCTATAGTTCTCGTTGAACTAAGAAATATCTTGCTTTCAATGGATCGCATGATAAGTAATAAATTGGTCTAGGACCAAGTAGCCTAAGATCATGGAGAATTGCTTAAATTAAAATTAGCTAAATGAAGAAGTGACCCAATTAAATAGGATGGATTGTAGTGGACATTGAGTTGATAGATAAAACACTTATGATGATTTGGGATTTATGAAGAAAAAACATTTCGAGAATTTTGCATTAATGGTAATTAGAAATTTTTAGAAGAAATTCCATGTGATTTTGAATGTTGCGTATTTTATACATTTGAAGTGTATGGTCTAATTTTTTTTATTAAGTATGAGTATTGGATCAATTTTTTAGGCTAAACAATAAATAAGCTAGATAATGAAATAGTTTTCTAAACTATGGCCCCGTTCGCTTCGCTGAAAAAACAAGCCGAAACACTGTTTCAGCTGATTTGTTGCGAGAGAAAAATACTGTTCTAACTGAAAAAATAAGCTGAAAAGTACGAATTATAAGACAAGTGAATAGGGCCTATGATATGTGCAAATCAGGGGGAGAACATCTCTGAGTTTGTAGGAATGCTGAACATTCTTAAGTGCACTTTATGTATTCTAGCTCGCTGCATTTAATGAATAATAACCCCCATGTTTAAATATGTGCGTGAATATTTCCCATAAAATTTCTCATATCATACATGAATGGACCTACACTTGTAGTTGGAGATACATGAATTTAAATTATTTTAAGCCCATGATAAGGGATAACTTTTGAAGTGTGCTATTAAACATCTAATATTGGTATTAGGGAGAGAGAAAGAATATTTTGAATGCCAAATATTATTTCCACGGAAGAAAAATGATCTTCAAAGTAAAATATTCCTTCAAACTTGAAGCAGGAATAGTATCACGTACTAAATCAAACAATAGTTTGATTAATGCTCTTATGAAGCATGAAGTGGAGTATATGGCAGATATTTTAGAAAAATGAGAAGTAACTTGAAGTTATAAACCATAAGTTGTGTTTACTAATAGTAAACTAAATATTATATACAATAAAGCTAAAATCTATGAGGACGTCTATGAATTCTAGTCTAGTGTATACTTGTTAAATGAAATAAGAACAGACTCTTACAGTCTTATGAAGAGAACACCTCGTGAAGAATATTAAGCACCTCATGAAAGAGGATCATCATGAAGATGAAATTACTAGGCGCACGCATTATGAGTGTTGGGTATGCAGAATAATAAATCATTTCTTGTTTGAAAAATGACAAAGAGATAGAATAATATCACATTGTGAGAATATTGGGAGAAAATAATAGTTGTCAACAGCGATATCTCTATAATTACAAATGTTTCTTTTATGAGAACTCGGGTCTAGAAAATAAAATCCATGACAAAGTCGTATGTAGCGATTATATCGGGTTAATGAAGAAATCAATTGAGGTTGAATCTCCAACTAAGAAGAAATAAAAATATTCTGCTATATCTCTAACAAATGAAATGATTAAATATGAAATATGCAGTTAATAAGTGGATTCCGAAAATCTATATAATTCTTGAAGAATAGAAATTGCAACATATGGAAATTAAATCTCATACTAAGTATTAAAAAAGTCTAAGGTAGAATACATTCCTGTATGAATATTTAAGTATTTAAGTCTCAAGAAGAGCATGTCCTAGAAGAAAGAGTCATCAAATGACTTTGTAGTGAATAACACTATCTTATTGTGTATATCACATAACAATCTATTATGAAGTAGAGAATATATCTCATAAAAGAGAAATGTTATTAAAAAAGAACATCCTTGAATGAATTAATCCATAAAGGATTTACAAATTGATTCTTGAATAAACACCGATAATCCCTTAAGTAAATGTAGACCCGATAGAAAGAAAATGAGAAATTCTAAACACCATGAAGGTGTCATACAAACACTCAGAAAGTGATGATTTGTATTCTCTAAATACCATAAAAGGTATAAGAATAATTGTGGTTTTAGCAATTGAATTATCCCTTAAATGCCAAATGCAAGACTGGATTTATTATTTAGTGGTACAATAAAAATCCTGAAGATCTTTGAACATATAGTTTGAAAATCCATTAAGGAAGAATTATAAGTATTCAAAATCTAGTATAAGTTTGATGCACTATCTAGAAGATATTGAGTATTATAAACTATTTAACCTCCATGATCCTCTGAAAGGATTTATTATCACGAAGGATAAATTTTATTTGCTTTGCACAACTAATAAGTGGTCATTTATGCATGAAGCATATTGCTCTTGTTTACTCATAATATAATTCATAGAAGAAATGCGAGCCAATATTTTGAAAGGTATAATATTGTGGTACTGCATACCATTATTAAGCACATATTTATGAAAAGTGTGGTTTGAACAATAATGTTCAAAGGATGGCTTTATAAGGGGGAGCAATTTGATTGAATATACATTGAAGGTAATTAAAATCACTAGAATTGTAAAGATCAAGTAGATAATATTTGCTAAAACATTAAAGTTTATTCATAGATCATGAAGATCAATATATATTCATGAATAATAGAATATCATGAAGAATAATGACCAAGAAGGTTAAATGTTGTACTCTTTTTTTTCTATGTGAGTTTTTATTTGAAGGTTTCTCACATAAGGTTTTTAATGAGACAACATGTGCAATGCAATTAACGAATCCGATGTACTCTTTTTTTTTCAAGAACCATTTTTCCCACTGAATTTTTGGATGGAGTTTTTAATGAAGCATGTGCGTATCATGGTAATCGTCCAATAAGGAGTGTTGTAAAACATCCGGACTCTTTTCTATAAGGAAAGGAGAAGGTGTAATCCTAATCCTAGTCCGTTTATACGTGGGCTATTACTAAGCTTTAAGACCTTGACAGGACTATATATATATATATATATATATATATATATATATATATATATAATTATCAATATTCAGAGAAATAAAGTATAGTATCTTTATCTTGTATCTATTTGTTCTTCTACCTTCATCTACTATATTAACCATTGGAGAGAGAGAGAAAAGTCCCGACCGCTGATGTGTTTTATAACATTCTCTACCGGTCTACGCCTTCATCTTCATCGGTCCCTGATTTTTCTAGCATAATTTCGGTTTCCATTTTTCAAAGACCGATCTTTTTAAAAACCGAAATACCCGACCCGAAATCTCGGCCTGGACCGAACGCCCACGGCCCACGGCCCACCCTGAACCCTAACCCACTCCAGCCCATTTCCTTTTCCCTTACCCAGCGTGCATCCAAGGCACCTCACGCCGCCACGCGCTCACGCCCCGCAAACCCCATCCGTCCCTAAACCCTACTACCCGGTGGCGACCGGTGAGGCTCCTGGGATCCGACCGGCGGCGGGGCGGCGGGGCGGCTCGGGAGTACTAGACGAGCTCCTAGGCGCAGGTGGTTATCCTTCTGGGGCTGAAGCCCGAGGGGCGAGGGCAGTCGTCCGGCGGCGGCCAGGTCGCCAGACTGGTGGAGGCTGGAGTGGCCGAGGGGCGGCGGCAGCCGGCAGCCAGGACATCGGGCGGCCAGCGGGCAGGGGCAGCGGACTGCAGCCAGCACAGCAAAGGTGAGGCTTCACTGATTCAGGAACGTGAATTTGTGTGACGTGATGTCTGATTCATAGCATTATTATTGCTATTTGCTATTGATTTTTAGTTGGTAGCGTGCATATATTTTTCCCATAGATTTCTTTTGGTTTGCAAAAATGTAGAACAAAACAGTTTATTTGTGAATTTAAAACAAAATGTAGTTATTTTGTAATTTCCCTAATTCGTTTGTTTCATGTCAATCTCAGAGTTGAACAATTTGTGTCAGTAATTATCAGCAAAATACCACTATGAACTATATTTTGGACATTTGCATTGAACCTGTTCTTTTATTAGGAAATAGCCTAGCATGGGGAAGAGGCAGAGGAAGACTCCAGGGCGCGCGCCGTCACGGGGCCTTCCAAAGTCCAAGCGGATCGATGAGCTAGCGGCAATGTCTGATTCTGACAACGACGAAATCGATGCCTGTAAGATGGATGGAGGAGCTGTGAGGCCCCCTCCCTTCGTTTCTGAAGAGCATGCATTTGGTTGTTCCTGTTGGCTCATGCGTGCTTTGTCGTTGTTTTGTCTCTGATTTCCGTTTCGCAGTCCACAAGCAGCGGGACATGATCCCTTTCGACGCTGATGATGGTTAGTGCTCTAGTTTTGGTGCTATTGGGAATTTCGATTTGCTTCGTCCATCTGCGTGCAGTTTACTAAGATGTTTCCATTCTCTTTCTTTTTGCTTTTTTTTTTGTGTTTCAGTAAGGGAGTCGGAGGATGACGACGTGGAGCAGCCTGTGTTTGACCTCGAGGTAATTTTTACCCCTTACTGAATCAGTTCTCCGTGAGTTCACATTGTACGTAGAAAGCTACAAATTATATAGGTGGTAACTTTGAAGGGTTTTTGATGATTAAATGCAAGTATTGATGTTTGGCTGGATAGCACAACTGCATTACCTTGTTTTCAGTCATTTATTTTGCTCATTTAGCCTAGACTAGTGCTGCTGGATCATATGATCAGTTGCTGATGTGTTTTTTCCATTTTTATTTGATGATAGTTTATTTTGGGGGTAATATGTTGCCACCGTATTTCTGGGCTCTGGGTTGACATTGGTATACACTATATAGAGTGCTGCCTTCTCCCTTGTAAGGCGTACTGTGGGTCAAATGGCTAGTATTGAACACGATATTTGCTTAATTTCTCATCATTGTGTTGCTAATGTGAATGGAATGTGATATGATAATACGACTACAGCACATTACTGGCTTTTACATTGTGCTGTACTGTTGGCATCCTATCTAATGTAAATGAACCTGATATGTTAAACGCCAAATGATTAAAAATCAGTGTTCCAAAAAAGGTATTAAACGTGCGCCTAGACGCAATTAGCTGGTAATTGGAGCCCTACTGGGTCGATTAGGCTCTGTGTGGCCAATAAGCTCTGGACGCGCTAGGCTCTTCGCCTACGAGTGAGTGCAGACACAGGAAAAGCGGTGGCGAGGCGATCTTGCACTAGTGCGGTCGGGCAGGCAGAAAAAAAGAGCGTGGACGGGCATGGCACTACAGAGAGGGCAGGAGTGTGGAACAGAGGGTGTGCGTGGATGGGCAGATAAGTGCCTAGCGGCTATGTCACAACTTACAAGAGAAGCAAAGTGCCATTGCTCCTCGCATCACTGCCAGCTGCTGAGCTGCGTGAGCTCCTCACCACTTTGTGTTGCCACCAACGTAGCCTCGTCCCAGTTCCCTTCTCCCTCATCCTGTTAGTTCTCAGCTTCCCATCGACTGTGTACCGGTGCGCATGTGAGTCAGCTAAGCGTGGTGGGGCTGTTGAGCCTTGGGGAGTCAGGGAGTCAGTGTTCGCAGTTCATGTGCCCCCTCGTGTGGAAACTGGTGGATGGAGCACGTCTTTGCAGTGTGTTTGTGTGTCGTGCATGAACTGCAACACTCGAGCTGTCTCTGTGAGATACATTTCTATTGTTTTCTCTTGAACTTGCTTCCATTTGCAAAACTCATTACTTCCCTGTTGTTGTAATTTTCTTCTGATACTCTGTTCTCAAATGCTAATAACCTGATAAATGTGCCTTGTTTGTGCTGTTTTGTGCTTTGTTTGCCCTGAAATTGTTTTTGTTAATACTCTGTTTTTTCTTCATCTGTGCTGGTGCCTCCTGATCTTGCTCCCAGCAGCAAATAATCTAATAAGTTATAAAAAAGCAGAAACACTTTCATGTTTAATCTACACTTAGGTGCTCTAGGTACTAGGCTGTGGCCACTGCCTAGCACCTTTTGGAACCTTGGTAATAACATGTACTTCTGTACTAGTTGATGTTATTCTTATCTTCTATCTGTTTGACTTATTCTATGATCTTAATTTTTTAGGGTGTTTCTGATAGCGAAAGTGATGACAGCAAAGGAGAAGAGTCTGGTGACATGGCTGAAGCTGATTATGAAGAATGGGACAAAGGGTATATTTCAAAATGTAAGTTTGTGAATAGCTCTTACACAATATCTATGGTCATAGTACTATCCTGTTAGTGTATTTCTTTGTTTCTGTGGCTTAAATAATTAGGTCCACATATTGATATAGGTGAACTGTTACAAATATATAATTAGCTGCCAACAAAGGTGATGCTATTTTTAAGTATAATTGCTGAAATTATATAAATAATATACGATGCTATGCAACTGTAAAGGGTATGGGTGATAAATAATACTGTCTTTCCTCTTCAGTGTTGAATAAATCCGCTGGTACATAAAATGCTAGTGCTGATTTCTTATACTTTCAGAATTTATGTAGTGCTTCAATGCAAACTTTGGCTCAATTGTTACGATTTGCATTACTGTTAATGAAATAAATAAGAAAATTACTTGAACCTCTTATTTAGCTGTTCCTGTTTCTTCTGATATGTGGTGTTTGCATATACATAACTTAGTGTGTTTGAGCAGTAAAAAGAGCACAGAGGGCTGTCAAACAAATTGCTGGAGGTGATGATAGCATGGATGAGCAAGAGGATGAAACAAAAGAAAATGTTTGGGGCAGAGGTAAAAATGCATACTATGCTGCTGGTGAACAGTCTGGTGATGATGAGGTGGATTACGAGGAGGCACAAAGGATCCAAAAAAATAAGGAAAAAAAGCTGTCTATGAAAGATTTTGGATTAGAAGATGGTGAAAGTGATGAAGAGAATAATGTCACAAAGGTGATTGTCTTTTTTTCTGTTTTTTCCCCCTTGTTACTGTCTTATTTGCTTCAACCATGGGATGGCTTTGAGAATCATCTAAACTTACCTCAGGACATCATCTTATCACATAATAAGTTATTCTCCATTATACAACTATACAATTTTAATCTATTTTAGGAAACGGTCCATGTTTCCAACCCTAAACTCTGAGACTTTTCTCTTTTCAATCCTCAACTATTGAAATTTGATTTTAGGTGATGTGGTGTTGATGTGCAAAGTGACCTAAGGTCAAAATAGTTTTTGATTTCTAAAATTGGTAAATATTTTTTGAATAGTTCTGGAATTATTCTCACTTGCATTATGGGGTATTGCCAACCTGCATATGCAAGACAATCAGGGTAGCATGTCGGGCCATGGTGGCAAAACAGGCCTGCAATACAATCCCAAGGGTCATTTATGTTGGGAGGTTATGTAGGCCTTTTACTATTGTTTGCTTACTCACATCCATTTCATCATTCACGTAATATGCTATGGCAGAAAAACTGTCTTCAAAACATAAGGAGTTATTTAGGCGGGTTTCAGTACTTTAAGGGGTAAAATACTTGGTTTCCTTGGTGAAGTAGACTAATGGCATTTTTTTTGGGGGAGGGGGGGAGAGGTGTGATTTAGTACTCCCTCTGTCCCTATTTAAGTGTTGTTATTGGGTGCATGCCGGTCAATTATTTTTTAAGTTTGACTAGGTTTGTAGAAAATATTAGCAACATTTGTATCTCCAAATAAGTTTATACGAAAATAGATTCAACGATCTATCCAACTATATTAATATTTTTTTATATATATTTGGTCAAAGTTGAGTACCATTGGCTTCTCGGGAAGTGAGAACGACAGTTAAAAAGGGACGGAGGGAGTAGAAGTTTTCCTTTATTTTATTCACTATCTTTGCCTTGTTCAGCGATGAGGATTCTAATTTCCATTGGCTTCCTCCTGCTCATTTGGCTAATACTTTATCTGAGTATATATGTTTGTTCGAGTCGTGGTCCCCTCGCATTGCACAGGCGAGGGTAAGGCTTGCGACTGACACCCTTCCCCAGACCCTGCACAGAGCGGGAGCTCTCTGCACTGGGTACGCCCTGAGTATATATGTTTGTTGATGCATACATCGGATAATACCCTTCTGCAATTATTTACCCATTGACTATCAGGTATCCAACCATGAAACCAAAATGAAAGAAGACTTTGCTGTCTTATCAGGCGATGACAAAATGGATGTGGTATACAGGTCTGTTATTTGACTTCTGTACTATATATGTCTAGTTCCTTCACAAAGTCTATCCTCATGACATAATGTATCTACCGTTCACCAGTTCATGAAGAATTTTTTTTTACCTTTGAAAATGATCATTGTAATGGTTAGTTCCACTCAAGTCAAGCTTAAATAGGCATGTCCATTAATGAAATTTTGAGATTTGTAATGCTTATAGTTATAGCATCTAAATTGTGTACTACTTGAAGTGACATTGTCATTATGTGTTTAATTGCAATGGACGGTGACATCTATATATTAATTTTGTGCACTTCTGCTTCTGAACTCATCAGTTCTGCCCCTGAACTCGTTAGCTTGTTGTCTGAGTTGAAGGATGCCCATGAAGAACTTAGGGCTATAGGACAGCTTACCAGTGAGGTAAATTACTGCTGCACTCACAATTGAAACAATATTCTTGTTTCTTACTTTAATGGTATTCTCTGAATAACTGTGTAGCCTGAAGACTTTAAACTTGCATGTGTGGAAGAACTATGAAACTTGAAACATCAGTATTTGTTAGCTTACCAGTCTTTGCTTGTTTGCCTTCAGAGTAACACTTTATTGCATACTATTCATGAAGCTTAGATGCATAGTTGTTAAGGCGTCGCTATACCGACGCCATATCGTCGCCATATCGCCGTGGCGTTTTTCTGGCTCTCGCCACGGCGATGCCACGGCTCCGGCGTGTATGGTGTCCGCCATAGCGCCGTGGCGTCCCCGTGGCGCCGATTTGGCGTCCTGTGGCGCCTTTGTGCGCTGTGGCGGGCGCAATAGATGGTGAGGGTGAGGGTGAGGCCGTGAGGGTACCTGTATAGGCCGAGTGGCCGATTGGAGCCCTCCGAGACCGAGCCCGAGACGCTGCTCGCCGGGCTCTGGCCAAAGGGACGCCGTAGCCAGGCCACTCGATGGCGGCGCGCTCCCCAGCGGGGAGCGCGCTCGCCGGCGAGGGGGCCGGCGACGGCGCCGAGTCGTCTGCTCGCTCACGCTCGCTCTTGCTCGGGCTCCGCGCGACTGAGAGAGAGAAGGGGAGGAGTAGAATGGGAGTTAGGGTTTCGGCTGACGCGGCTGGCTGGGCCTTTTTGTTCGGGCGAGACGGCCGGGCGACCGTCGGATGCAATCCGACGGCGGAGAGCGGCCGGGCCGTTTCGCGGCCCAGGAGGGCGCGCGCGGCCGCGGCACTTTGCCGGCCCAGGCCCACGTTGCGGCCTGGGTGCGGCCGGGCGCCGCGCAGAGGTGTGGGCCGAGCCGAATTGCCGGTTTTGGGCCCAGTAACAGTAAAGAATGAGCCCGGTTTGAGAGATGAGAGAGTTCTATGTCTTTTGTGCTACATTTACATTGCTATTTTGATTTGCTAATATTGTAGACTATACCTTTTAAGCTACATTTGCATTACCATTTGTCAATATAATTTCCTAATATCCTAGACTATAATGTATGTATTCGCCACGCCGATGTGTGTATGGCATCGCCACGCCGCGCGCCATAGACGCTGTAAAGGTGTGAAGGTGGTGGGTCGCCACGCCTCGCCACGCCGCCGTAAAAACTATGCTTAGATGTATGTGCTATTGAACAAAAGTTCAAATATGGTGATTCAAACAGGACCATATCTTGTCCCTACAATAAAGCTCAAGAGTGTTGCGAATAGCCTAAAGGGTGAAAGTACTCATACTTTCGATTTGTTTTTCATCAACTACGCCATCTTTGGCACTATTCTCCATGCTACTATGATGCTTTCTTGCTTAGTGACTGCCAGACACAAGCTTGAGCTTGCTCTAGTTTGGTTTGGTTTGTGATTACCATTCGTTCCTGGTTCATGTTGGTGATTCATGGAATTTTGTGGCTTATGTTTTATCACATTAGTTGAGTTGGCTTGTTTCACTACTGTGATTCACTGCTAAATTTTGTGGTTCGTGATCTTAGTGCCTATAGCCTGTTTAGTCTCCCTTCTCCATATCTTGCTGCCTTTGATAATTGATGAATATTTTTGCAGGTCTCGTCTTGTCTAGGCAAAGATAAAATGCAACCTTTTGAAGTGAAGAAAGCTTGTTTGCTTGCTCATTGTCAAGCTATTACCTTCTATCTCCTTATGAAATCTGAGGGGTTGTCCGTACAGGATCATCCTGTAATTTCTCGCTTGATAGAGACCAAGAATATGGTAGAGAAGGTTTGTTTTTAGTAAACCTTATTCCTATATGTACTGAATTCAGAAGGCATGCCCATGCTGCCCTTTATCTGCCAGATGACATTTTCCCCCTTTCTTATCTTTTTGTTGATGGTTATTGGGTTGGTATTCGAATCAGTTTTACTAGACCAAAAATAAGTTTAGTAGAATCGGTAGCATGGAAGAATTTGTTCTGTTATTGACTCATTATTTTAGGGCTTGTTAGATAATTTCTCTTTATGAGTCGATTGGAAAGTTATTTGGACTGTGCGATATGTGAAAGATTCGATGTCTTCTCTTTTGCAGATTAAGCAAGTTACCATGAATCCAGCAAGGCAAAAAGGGAGCACTGATGACCATAGTATGCATAGCAGCACCATCCAAACAGATAATATTTTCACATTGGACAAACAGGAGGGCAAATTTAGCAATGTACTAGCTCTGGATAAAGTGATCCAGGTACTGTTTCTGCTCTGTTGTGCCTATTACTTTATCACCTAAGTGCTCCAAATAACACAACAACAACAACATAGCCTTTTAGTCCCAAGCAAGTTGGGGTAGGCTAGAGTTGAAACCCACCAAGAGCCCCAAGTCACGGTTCAGGCACTTCAATAGCTGCTTTCCAAGTACTCCTATTCAAACATAGATCTCTAGGTATATCCCAAGCTTTCAAGTGCTCCAAATAACACATGATTGATAATTTAGGGTGCTGAAGTCTCTGAATCAAGGAAGAGCGAGCCTTCTAATAATGAAGATCAGCATGAAGTCAATGAACAGAAGAACAAGGTTAATCTGATATGAACATGTAGTGTTCATTGTTTTCCTGTTAAATAAGAGTGTATTTGCCTGAAATCTACAAATGACAGGATGAACATATGGGCTTGCATAGCCTGGAAATGTTAAAGGTAAGAGCAAACCTTGAGGAAAGATTAAAGAAAAAAGGGCTCTATAATTTGACAAAGTCGAAGCCAGAGAAGTTGTCAAAAACCAGGACAACCAGTAATAAGTGAGTTATTAGTTATGTATTTCTTCTGTAGTTCTGTTACATAATAATGTTTTTGTTTCTTTGTGGTTTTAGTAATATTTATCTTTGATGTGTAGAAGAGGCCTGCAGACATTGGATGACTTTGATGATGAAGTGCTGAAGAATAATCAAATGATGAAACCTAGCAAGCTTGTTGCAGCTGCTGCTAAATCAAATAAAAGCATGGTATGCTACACTGTTCAGTTACAGGCTGTTTGTTTTTGTTGTATTAGTTTATATCTTATTGTTTCCTGTGGTCCTAGGTTTTTGTAATGGGATAATATGTAAATTCCTCATGCATCAATGGTCTTAGTCATCTTAGGTTGGAAATAATTTCATGTGGCTATATCTTGAACATTATAGTATCCAGGATATTTGTAGTTCCAAAGTAATTTGTCTAGTGAGTTTGAAAGTGATAAAGTAATTTGTCAGTAATTTGTAGTATCCAGGATATCTTGAACATTATGGTATGCTACACTGTTCAGTAATTTGTCTAGTGGCGAATTTTACATTCTGATTTCAGGTTCTTGTAAGTTTGTTTCAGTTTTATGCATCTCACCTAAAAAAGGTACAAGAAAAAGGGTGTGTTTTCATGTGATGGTTTACTTTTGGGATACATCTAGGTTTTGGCCCCCTCCCCTCTGGAAACATGCTCTTAGTATGTTGTATATTTTGAAAAGAAGAAAAAGGAATTTGAATGAGCTGCATATATGCTCAGTATAAGCTATGATGTGTCTTAAGCTTTATTCGGAGTTACAAGCTTTCGGTTGTCTGATTGTGTCTAACCCCCTGTTTTGTATCTTCAAGTTTGTTTCTGGTGATGATGACCTTCCGAAGAGAGATAATATTGGAGAAAGACGGAGGAAACACGAGCTTCGTGTTCTATCAAGAGTAGGAGCTAACTCAGTGGAAGATCATGACTTGCCAGATGGTGACGCTTCTGAAGATGATGCTTCTGAAGATGACCAGGAGTTGCCAGAAGGTGGTGATGCTTCGGAAGATGGCTTCTATGAGGATGTTAAAAGACAGAGGACTGAAAAACTATCAATCAAGAATGCTCTGTACTCGAGGTTAGTTTCACTGATATACCAGGTAATAAATAAGGGGTTTCTGGTGAATGATGTACTGCTGCTTACTTTTTCCTGTATGACAGAACTCCGGTCGTTGAACCTCTGGAGGAAGAAACTGAAGGCGATGGCAAGAGGACGATTTCGTATCAGGTTAATCTTCACCTGGTGCATCATGTATCATATTATAGATTTTGATTTCTTGTTATGTGCGTCTAACTAAATCCAAACCCTTGCAGATCTTGAAGAACAGGGGGTTGACACGTTCCAGGAACAAGAAAAAGAAGAATCCACGAAAGAACTACAGGGTAAGTAACATAACATTATAGTATATATGACTTGTGACTCATCTAAACTGCTAGGGCGACACCACATTAGCTCAAAAAAATTACTCTTTCCAGGATAAGCATAAAAACAAGCTTGTCAAGCGGAAAGGCCAAGTGCGTGATATCAAGAAGCCCTCTGGTCCATATGGAGGTGAAATGTCTGGTATCAACCCGAATGTCAGCCGCAGTGTTCGGTTCAAGAGTTGATGCCAGTAGTATATTCATGTTGGACATGAAAGGGTTGTTTCTGGTCGTATCTTGACATTTTATTTGCATATTATTAAAATGTATTAACTCCGTAATATTTGTCTTACTGTATTAGATGAGTAAAATTCTGCCTGCAAAAAATATAATTATCCCATTGCCTTTATGTCTGTGTGAAAGCGTGCTTATGTTGAAACCAAGTATAATTATCAAGGAAATTCGTATTGTTATTTCGAACCATATACAGTGTGTTTGGTTGGGTGGCCAGCCCTTAGCCTGGCTCTCTGGAGCCAATTTTGACCAGTTTGGTTGCGTGTAAGAGGGCTGAGGCCTGGCTTGGGCTGGCCAGCCGTACCGCCTAAGCCTGGTCGGGTTGAACCCCGGATTCGGCCGTTCTCGTGGAGCCTGGCTTGGGCCAGCTCGTGTGGTCGTTCCCTCGCCGCCTAGGCGCGTACCCGGTGACTTCTCCAGTTCTCCGCTGCTTCATCTCTGATTCTCTGTCCGCGGCACCATCTCCGTCCCCGTCCGGCAGGGTCGCAGCTCCGCCATCTCCATCCGCAGGGCGAGCACGGCAGGACGACGGAGATTCGAGCCCTTCCCCACCCGCGACCCCGCCCTGCTGTTGGCCGCCGGTAGCGGTACAAGTACCAGGGCGAGCCACGGCTACTGCTCCCGACGACAGAGACGGAGGAGCACGCGCAGGCGGTGTACTATGCCGTGGGGATTGGGACCGGCAACGACAGCCAGAACGAGGCGCAGGTGGCCAAGGAAGCTCCGTGTTGTTCAGTAAATTCAGTTAACCTAACGCCCGTGTTGGTCAGTACATACACTGAAAACCTGTTGCAGTTTCAGTTAGATCGAGTCCAATTATCTAGTGGTCTCACCATGTTTTCCCTGTCTACTGCAACTCAGCACGGTGGACCAGTTCAGCGGCGAGAGCAATCCGGTGACACTCGCACTTGGCGGAGAAGAGGTTAGAAGCTTCACTCCTGAAATTTTTTTGTCCACATTCTTCAGGAGTATAGATATCCTCTAGGTGCACTCAGCTGCAGTTTCTAGTTCTGTGAGTTCGTTTGTTGTTATATCTAGCTTATGTGCTGTTCAGATGATTCGAGGCCTGATAGACGTCCTAATTCGGACATTAGTACTGTACTTCTAAAACTTTTGCACAATTCTGATGGTTTATACTTATACAGCTGACTTACGATTACTCTTCTGTTTTTGTTTTTTTGTTCAAAATTGCAGTTTGGACCACGGCGAAGTCTGTTGTCTCATGCCAAGGAGCCACTGGTGTTTGAGGTTCAGTTGCTGATGGGCTAACCTTACCAATTTAGAGAAGAGGTGACTGTATCAAAACAATTCAGACAACCAAACAAAGCCTAGGGATAGCCAGGCTTAGATGGTATAGATAACCAAACAATCAGGAATTAGCTTGGTGGGAGCAGGCTAAGGCTGCCCAGGCTAGGATTATAGCCAGGCTAGAAATTGGTCAGGAAAACCAAACACACCCATATAGTACTAGTAGAGGCAGTTTTTTTAGATAAAGGTCCTTATTGTGAGATAAGTGATGCACACAGGAGCTAGTAGCATGACAAGGACTAAAGGTGCCCCAGTTGGTGATAGTAACAAGTAGTAGACCGGAACATGCAAGGAGCTAGTAGAACAGGCACTGCGCGAGTACGCGTGATGGCTGGTCCGGTAGGTGATCACACGAGGCGGCGGCAGATGGTGACGCCGTCGGCGATGGTGAGCTGGCACACGTCCACGCGCTCGTCAGCGGCGAGGATGGCGTTGAGGTCTCGCATAACAACCGAGGTGCGGCGGTCAAATTCCGACAGGGGCGCGTCGGGCGGCAGCGCCACCATGCCCGCCCACAGCGTGTCGTCGTACACGATGACGCCGCCGACCCGCACCAGGCGGAGCAGCTGCTCGTGGTACCGCACGTAGTTGGGCTTGTCGGCGTCGACGAAGGCGAAGTCGAAGGCGCCGTGGTTGGCCTCGTCGGCGAGCAGCGCGTCCAGGTGCTCCAGCGCGGGGCCCTCGCGGAAGTCGATTTTGTGCGCCATCCCGGCCTTCTCGATGAAGGGGCGGCCGATGTCGTAGTACTCGCGGCTCACGTCGACGGCGATGACCTTCCCGTCGTCGGGGAGAGCCAGCACCGTGGCCAGCAGGGAGTAGCCCGTGAACACGCCGACTTCGAGGGTGCGGCGTGCGCCGGTGAGCTTGATGAGCATCTGCAGCAGCCGCGCCTCGTCCGGGGAGGACTGCATGAAAAACCGCTCGTGCTTGTCGGTGACGAGGCGCAGGTCACGCATGCAGTCCGGCTCGCGCGGTAGCACCGACGTGTCGATGACGTACTGCATACGCGTGCAGTGCATAGTGATTAGTTAAGGCGATCCACAGCGAGTAGCTAGCTGGTTATTCTATTTTAGCAGGCTCAGGCCGTATGTTACCTTGTACAGCGCCTCGCTCTTGAGAATCGTCTTGCTGGTTTCGCTGCTGGCCGCCGCCATCTCTCTGGTTCGTTCGCTTGCAGGTGGTGATACGTAGCTAGCAGCTCACAGTCACTGAGTCACAGGTGACCCCCAGCTCGAACCGGCCTTGCAAACCACGTTTTTATAGTACGTAGCTGGCAGAGAAGATTCCGTTTCTTGCTTTGCAAGAAGCCAACCGTCAATCCGCCGCGTTGAATGGTTTAGATTTGTCCTTGCCCTGCTCAAGAATTCGTCGCATCGCGTCAGCCATGAATGTGGTAGTCAAGAGAGTATACGAGCAGGCACAGTGGATCGACTGACTTTGTGTGGCGGATTTTGAGAGTGAAATCACTGATGACAAATGCATGGTGGCCGGCCGGTCGTGGTCGTGGCGGCTTGCTCTCCTGGTTGGTTGGTGCGGGTGTCAAGAGATGATGCAGCAGAGATTGAGAGGGAAAGCCCTCGTGGAAAGGAAGACCAATGATCCAAGGACAGGAACAGGATCGATTTTGCTGCGACCCGCTGTGGCATGCAGTGTCTGGATTCCCTTCTTCATCGAGACCCGATATATACGTCCAACTGCTGGCTGTTAGCACAGTGTTTCGTGAGAGGCAGAAGCTGGAGCTGCAGCACCAACAGCTGCAATAAAAAGCTGCCGAACAGTTCTTCACCACGGCATAGTTTTTCTAGCATATACTTATGTCGACAGGGAAAAAGTGATCAAGAAGCAAATTTGTGGCCCCGAGGAGATGCGCAGGAAAAAGCTCGTCAGGTGCTTATGAAGAAGCTCGGCATCATGGAGGAGGAAGGAAGCTCGGCAGACGACCTGCTGCTAAGCTAGCTACTTCAAGCTATTCAGCGGACCACTCTCGGTGATCAAGGCGCGGACGGCTCTGTGTGTGGCCTCGACGGCGGCACTGTTGCCACTTGCCAGCTGCTCCCAGGCTTAGGACCCGTGTTGGCAGTACATGGGCTACATTTTGTTATCCATGTTGAGCGGCCCCAGCCAACAGTCAATTTCCTTCAGTAGGGTCGTCGTGGGTCTGTCTCGGCTTGTTGTTGTCGTCCGTGAAGGTTGCCACGGTGATGGCCAGGGGCGATCTCCACTATATATATGGTGTCGTCATTGTACTGCTGTCTCCATTCCAAGGCACCCCCGTGCCCCCGTTCGCCGGCCCACCAGCACGCCACGTGCCCCGTCCGCCGTCCTTGGTTTGTCTCCGACCGAACAACATAAAACATTTGCAACATAAATACAACATAACACTGAAAGCAGATTAAACATTTGAAAACATGCTTTTGCAACATATGTGTGAAACTCACGAAACACCAAAATAAACACTTGCAACTTGCCACATTAAACCACTTGCTGCAACATAAGACTGAAACATTTAGAAACATACTGTTGCAACGTATGCAACATCCAGATAAAAAACGATCGCAACATACGTCTGAAAATATATGAAACATTTTGAACAAACGCTTGCAACATTCCTCTAAAAACACTTGCAACATGTGCAACGTCCCTCGATCTACTTTTGCAACATCAAGATGAAACAGTTGCAACATACACCTGAAACACTTGAAACATGCATATGCAATATAGGAGAGGGGAAGGCCGGGCTGGTCGATTCCCGTCGTCGAGGTCGGAGCCGGCAGCGAGCCACGGCGCGCGAGCACCTCCCGCGCTCGTGGGTGCCCTTGCTTCGGGCGAGGAAGACCTGAGGTGCCACGGTACATGTGCCCCAGCGGCCATGGCGAGGTCAGCGACGTGCGTGACGGCGATGGGAGACGGACGGGCGTACGGCAAGGGAGCGAGCGGCACAGGTGTGTGAGACGTGCGCGCGGCGCGGCCGACGATGGGGCGCGAGGCTGTGGGGCACGGTGGGGCAACAGACGAGCGCGCGCGACTAGCGATAGGGTGCAGGGCGGTGGGGCACGGCGCAGCAGTGAAACGAACACGCGGTGGGAGAAGGGGTGTGGATAACGAGCGTCACGTTGCTTCCGGGGCCTGGCAGATAAGCATGAAGGAGTTGGAGGCGGCCGGACGGATAAACATGAGGGAGTGGGAGATTTTGTTTTTTTTTTTTTGTTTTAGGCCCTCTCCTGGAGAGCCGCGTCCAGACAGGAGTCACATACGAACGCCATCATTTTCCTTTATTTTGGAACCGATGGAAACGTCTTATGTAAAAAATTCGCTTCCTTGCGCTGCAGGAAGCAATGCTGGCCCTAGGGGGAGGGCACGAGGTGCGACGGCCGAGGGCCCATGCCGGGGAGGGGCCCAAGTCTAGGTATACAAACCCCAGGCCCAATAGTCCATTAGGCATCATCAGCAAACTAATGGGAAGACAGAAGATAGGCAGAGAATTGGCTAGGCCGCCCAAAAAGACAACGTTGGTCTTTCTTTCCAAGGCAGAGAGGAGGCGAGGAACCACGCCGCACACTCTGATCACAACTCATGAGTTCGCGACGCGCCGACGCGCGGAGTGCTGGACCGCCAGAGAACGGCGCACGACGGCGGCGACTAGGCAAGGCTCCACGACGACGACATCTTGGTTCCTGCCTTCTTGCGAATTGCATTCGTCAATCAGTTGTTTCAATTCATGTCCAAGTCCCAAGTATTTTTTTTTCTTGTTCATTTTTTAATCCAAATTAATTATTTGTATAGTATTTCAGACTTATAGTATTTTGTACTCACATAGTTATGATTTTCTTCTAATTTAGATGTTAGATTAAAAATATATTATTATATTATTATTTTTTTACAAGTAAAATTAACGTATAAGATTTTAGAAGAGCCGTGGTGACGAACTCACCCGAAGGCCCTCAGGATAATAGGACCGGCACCGGCAGAAAGCCGACCATCAATCCCTTACGTCGCATCCGATCGTTTGAATTAGCCCTTGCCCTGCTCAAAAATTCGTCGCATCGCATCACATCTTGACTGTGGTAGTCAAGAGAGTACTGTATACGCGTGCAGGCACAGTGGATGGACTGACTTTAATTTGTGTGAAATGCATGGTGCCCGGTCGCTGAAGCCAGCAGTTAGACTATCTTTGACAAGATCATCCAAAATACACCATCTTTGGTCATACACAGTGAAAGCATTCCCATCCAAAACCTATCTTTCTCCAAAGGTGAAGAGAACGCAAATCCCCTCCCCGTAGACCTCGGCGAACCGGCGCACGGCGCCATGCATGGGGAAGGAGCCCGCGCTGGCCATGGGAAGAGCTCGCACCGGGCAAGGGGAAGGAGCTCGCGCGCCGCCGGACATGGGGAAGGAGCTCACGCCGCCGCTGGGAAGGACCTCGCGCGCCGCCGGGAAGGAGCCGTACCTACGCGGGCCGCCGGGAAGGAGAGAAGTCGTACCCGTGCGCGCCGCCGGAAAGAAGCAGCGGCCGGTGAGGGGGCAGAGGCCCGCACGCCACCGGGGAGGGGAGGAGCCGGACCTTGCGCAGCCGGATCTGGGACCTCGCGCGGCCGGTGATGGGGCGGCGGAGCTCGGCCGCCCGCCTGCGAACCCGTGCGACCTCCCCTTCCTGGCACGCTGGCTGGAGATGCGTCGTGGAGAGAGAACGACCTTTTTTGGGTTCCCTCTCTCTTCGTAGGCAAAATAGGTAGCTGCTTTGCGTAGTCTGTTGGAGGCATTTTTCTACTGTACATCATGCATTTTTTGTATGTGTACCTTTGTGTATAGGCCGTTGGAGACAGTCTCTGGGGGAAAGGAGTGGAGGATCAATAATGTAATGCAAGTGCAACGACAGGCTCAATTTTGCTGCGACCCGCGCGTGTGGGATTTTAAAATCCGAATTCCGAATAAAAATAATATTTGATGTTTCTTGGATTTTGTATAGGCGTGTTAAAATTCTGTAGAATCCTAGTCTGTTTAGATGGGATTTTAGGATTCTGAGATTTTATTTTATCCGGACTCTTAAAATTCATTGGTAACCAAACGGCACCTTTTAAGTCTGGTTGGACTGACTTTGTGTGGCGAACCCGGTCAATGCATGGACGTGCTCGCCGGACACTCCGGCTGGCTCCGTTCAGTCCGAGTCCAACGAGCCATTCAACTGATTTCTGCTATCCCGATCATGCAACTTGTTTGGCTTCTTGCATACTGTCTGACAAATTAATTAAATCATACAGTTTTATCAGAAATCCAGGGAGCGACAAGGGAATCACTGCAGAAACTCATGGTTCAAACTCAATAGAAAATTACAGAGGGGAAACACGGATGGAAGAGGATCAAGCTCAAACGACCAGGAAAGAAAAAGAATACTGGAACAGGTGCCCAAGCATTTATACCAACTTATGATGGAGTAGTAAAGCAAATGACATACTCCCTCCATCCATTTAGAGAAAATTTCTTATTTGACCCTAGTTTAAAGTTATCTTTCTTCTTTAGCCCTGAAACAAAATTTGTTAACCATTTGGCCTCACTTGAAGTTTCGTTTTCTAATTTGACCTTACCGTCATCTCCTGCCTCTAACACCGTTAGGTGGCACATGCAATGGGGCATTCATTTTAGTTAAACTTGGTTTCTCATAATGTCTCAGTGACAGTTTGATCATTTCATGTGCCACCTAACGGTGTTAGAGGCAGGAGATGACGGTAAGGTCAAATTAGAAAACAAAACTTCGAGTGAGGCCAAATAGGTAAAAAATCTTGTTTCAGGGCCAAGGAAGAAAGACAACTTTAAACCAGGGTCAAATAAGAAATTTTCTCATCCATTTATCGACGTCGTTTTACTCTCTTGCGCGATGACCAAAGGAGGGTCGAAGGAGGACCGATTATCATTTAATCGCGGCTTTGTACTAAATGCACCGTGGGCTGTTGGGTTTCCAAGTAATCTCTCCGCTAACACCGCTCAAAGTGCTCCCATTTGAGGATTTGGTTCCAAACCGCTTTAGCGAAGGGGAAGCATAAGCACAGATGAAGGCCGGTTTCAAGGGGCCCGTTGCATAGGGCGTAGTGATCCTGGTGTGGCCAGTCCCTTTTTTACAAGTTATCTGCCGTTAGAAGTTTTTCGTGAATTAGGATCCATGTGAAGACCTTGCACTTATTTTCTGCATGTGCTTTCCAAATTTGGTCCCTGTGAAACCTAGCAAATGAGCCTTTGAATTGTATTCGGTATGCTAAACGAGTGGAGTGAGTGTCATCCGGAGTCCAATTCCAGGTGATAGTGTCTCGAACACCCTGGATTAGCTGCACATCCTGGATCCTTATCCAGAGAGAGACAAACTCCTCAATGTGGGTGGCGGAGGTGATATGCCCTCTCAAGGAGCGTATCCAATTGTTGTTCCGTAGTTCCTGTTGCACTGATCTATTTTTCCTTCTGGCAAGCTGGAAGAGATTAGGGGCCAAATACCTGGCGTTTGTCCCTCCAACCAATTGTTGTGCCAGAATCGAGCTTTTGTGCCGTCCCCTAAATTGATTGTAGTTGAGGAGTTGAATAATAGACGATCTGCATCATTGCAAGGAAGATCCATTCCTACCCAAGGTTTGGAGTCTTCCGTCCAATCTTGCCACAACCAGCGCAATCTCAGGGCACGACCAAACCTGTCGGGCACCCCTAAGCCCCCAAGGTCTTTAGGCCGGGTCACCGTTGGCCAATTAACCAGGCAATGGCCGCCGTTCGCATTTTCCTCTCCTTTCCATAGAAAGGATCTCCTGATTTTATCAAAAAAAAAATCGTCCATGCTGCCAGGGGGAATACTGTGAGGTGATAGGTTGGCATGGCGGAGAGAACTGAGGAGACGAGAGTGAGGCGTCCTACTCTATTTAACCATCTCCCCTTCCAACCAGGGAGTCGCTGTCCTAATCGAGTAAATCTCTCACTCAAACCCTAAATTGCAGGATTGTCACATTTTCTGAAATCTGAACAAATTTCTGTCCAGTTTCATTGTTTTTGTTTGTTTTTACTCCTCTTAACCATATAAAGGGCGTACCCAGTGCAGAGAGCTCCTGCTCTGTGCGGGGTCAGGGGAAGGGTGTCAGTGGCAAGCCTTACCCTTGCCTGTGCAATGCGAGGAGACCGCAACTCGAACCCGGGACCTTCCGGTCACAGGCGGTAAAACTCTACCGCTTGCACCAGGCCCGCCCTTCACTCTTCTTAACCATATGTAGCAAATAAATACACCTCGCATGTATACATAATTTTTTCTACGACATTTGTTTAGGTGACTAGGACCAATTCTTGATCTAACCATGTCGAAAAAAGATGAACAGATTTCTGGGCACCTTTCCTATTACTGGACAGTGGCACCGTTTCAAGCATAACTCTTACACCCTTTATCGGATTCAATTAAAATCAGCGCCATTGGAAAGATAGAAAAGAGGCTACAACTTTTGTTTCAGGGAGAAGTAGAAATTCTTCACCAATAATTCTAGAAATTGGTCAAATAAATCAACTTAATTCACGTGTACTCTAAAATTGATCTAGTTATTCTCCTATCTTCCGTTCAAAAAAAAAGTTATTCTCCTATCAACTCTATTGGGAAATTTATGCATCTGGAAACAAATTAGTGATTACCTTAAGCAAAGATCAGAAATTTGTCAAGCAAATTTGGTGAATTTTGCAATGACCTACACCTTTTCCCTTCTCTGTTCTCTTCCCTTCGCCCAGCTAATCAACCGCACGTGGCAGGACACCTTCGGGTAGTGCGATGCGTTGTCTCCTTTCCCTGATCAGGAGCTTGAAGGTGACAGGAGGGAGGCGATAGAACGAAGGGAAAGAAGCGGAGGCAATGGAGGAGAAAGGAGTTGCTACGGCTGGAGTGAACAGGAGTCCGGATAACTAGAAAGACAGGCGCCGCGCAAGTCATCCATTTGAAGCCCTGGTTTCGGCAAGAGAGCTCGGTTTTCCAAGACCAAAGGGTATTTTAGCTCTCTCCGCGTATCTCTTGGGGCAGGCTCGCCTGAGTTCGTTTGGTTGGGGAGTGAGAACGAATCCATCTCTGGGATAGTTCTAGTCGGTGTTCAGTTAAATTGATGAAATAGTTGTTTTACATGGAAACAAGCCAACATACAGAATAAAACATGGCTACCAGCTTTTACAGAAATAGAAATGACGACCGCTTTATGACATGTTATAAGGTGACCACCAATTTGATGGCAATATTGATCCAAATTACAGGTTACAGCACGAGACAATGTCCGTCAGTATCAATCTTTGCGAAGATAGGAGCGGAAACAAAGGCTCCTCATGAAATCAAAAGAATAAAAAACAAGCCAACATGGCAGTGAACACATCCACGTTGCTAGTGATATACCCTCTTGATGCAAGTAGTTGGTACATATGATCATTTAGTAAGGTGTTTGGATGAATGTTTCTTTAAAAATACTCTCTGAAACTTGCAACTTTATTTTTTATCTGAATATTTCTTTAATTATAGTCAGAATGTGCAAGTCCATTTAAACATACCGTGATGAAAATTTCCATGGGCGTGGCATTTGATCAAGCGACTTGTAGGCACAACAGAGAATATCAGAGTTCACAGTATTGCAGGGGAAGGAGCTACGGTAGTCTGTAGAGCTGCTGACATGATGCACATATTGGTGCCAGCGGGAGGGAACAGCACCAGCGCCACCGTGGCCGCGTGACGCCCGCTCTTGGTGAACCACTGAACCTGCGCCGCCGTTGGTCGTCGTGGCCGGGCGTGTGGCCGGACGCACTTGGCGCCTCGCAAGTAGTCAAAGCACGCTGGAAGAGGAGCCCGTACACAGACAGACTCCTTGATTGGGCGGTCGAAGAAGGTGGCGCCGGCAGTTCCCTGGCGATAATGGGGTCGGCGGCGACTGCATCTTGCCTGCAGCGCCGTGTGTCGAGGGCCCACCTAGCTCACGCCGGCGGAGTCGCGTGCGCCCGGGGGCCGGCCGCGCACGCACCGTGGATCCGGGGACATCCCGTGTCAGGGAGACGACCGCGCCCGCTCCGGGGAGCGGCCACGCCGGGGCTAACTCACTGTTGCGCCGGTGGCCAAGGGCGCCTCGCCCTGCCAAGGCCGGGGGGCAGGGCCACCGCGCTTCCTTGCCAGGGGGCGGGTCTGCCCCGCCATGGCCGGTACTAGTGTCACATCGCCCCACTTCGCCCCGCCATGGCTGCCTCGACGCCATGGACCTTTGCGCCGCCGCCGCGAGAGAGAGGGAGGTTTCGCGAGAGAGAGAGAGAGAGAGAGAGAGAGAGAGAGAGGAGGGGGAGGGAGAGAGAATGGATGTGGCGATCGAACGATCGAAATCGAGCGGTAGAGAAATTTCAGATGACGTGGACAAATGTGGTGCCGAGGAGGATGGGGCAAGATTCGTACAGTAAAAGATGCTTCCTCACGGGCGTCACTCGGCTGACCGCCGTGGTCATCCCCGCACGTGCCGCGTGTGTCCGGCAGTCTGACTCCGCCATCCCTGCACGCGCACCCATCCTGCCCCGCGCCCACTCCGTCCCCGTGCAGCCATTCACTCGGCATCCTCCGCCTCTGCGTCCATCCATGGTCGCGACGCCCAATCCGTACTCACCCATCGTAGCCACGACGTGCACCGCCACCACCACCCACCGCCACCGGGGGAAGGTCGTCGCCGGCCGAGACATCATCTCTCACGGTCGGCCAAAGACACCGTGGCAGGGAGGATCCGTATACTATAAATGTATGTTTCAAATGTTTCAGACGTTTTCATAACTATCTTGTAATTGTTTTCATCTTAATGTTGCAAAAGTAGATCGGAGGATGTTGCACATGTTGCATATGCTGCAAGTGTTTCAGAGGCGTGTTGTAAGCTTTTGTCCAAAATGTTTCACCTATTTCTAGACGTATATTTCTAGACGTATGGTGCAATCGTTCTATCTGAATATTTCATATGCTTCACACAAATGTTGCAATAATATATTTCAAATGTTTCAGCTATTTCAGTCTTATGTTGCAGCATGTTGTTTCATGCTGCAAGTTGTAAGTGTTTTATTCGAGGGCTTTATGTTGTTCAACAGGGGCGAGTCGGGGCCGGCAGACGGGGACGCGCGGCTCGCCGGGTGGGGGGAGGGGGGCTAGGAGATGGGAGCGCTGGGGCCCGACGGACGGGGGTGCCATTTCCTTAACATTTTGCACAAGCTGGATTACACGCATCACCACCGAAGTGACCAAAACTTTGCCCTTTTAGACATTTTAGCTGTGTGGCATGCCAAGTCAGCCTTCCAGCGTGGCAGGGGCATGCAAAAAGACCTCGCTGCCCCTTGCCTTATGTCTTAAGCACGCTGGGCTCACTCCTCGTTTGGCACCGCCGCTATTCTTCTTCTTCTCCACCCGCTCTTTCGCTGGCAGAGGTGCGGCGTGAGGAGATCTGGCGACACGGCATGAGGCGAAAACAAGCCCGCGGAGCTTCGGCGAGACTCTACCGCACTGCAGCGGGACGGTGGACGGCAGCGGCGCGTCGGGAGGAGGAAGGTGTGAAGAAAAAAATGAGTGCTCAGGGCTCGTAAAACACACGAGTGTTGTATGGACCGATCCAAATTTTAAAAAGATGACTCCTCATAAATTAAGATGTGCATTTATTTGGGGACGAATGGAGTAGAAGATTAAGTAGATCCTTAGTGTTTTTTTCTTGTTGTGATGATGACCGAAAGGAAATAAGAGGTCCTGTGTTTCAAGCGCAGAACAAAGTTTTGAGAAAACCATTACCAAGAGACAAACTTGTAGCTTCTCGGCTACAAAGAATAAGTTAGAACACCGACTCGAGAAAGTGTGCTCAATAGAACAACAGAGCGAGATAAAAAAAATGTCTACGCAGCTGTCAAAGCAGACATATGTGATACCTTCATGGGGGGGCTCCGGACCGAAGAGAAGTGCCCACAATACTTATGCCGAAGCCGTGCCTTTTTCGTTTCGCTGAAATTTAGCTTATATTGATGCTTATGTTGATTTATTGTGAGAGTAAAATCATGTTCATTTGTTGAAAAATACTGCTGAAATAGTGATGTAAAACAGGGCCTCACGTACGTGCGCGCTCTGATAATACAGTCGACTCATCTCTAGACTGTCTGACCGAGCTTCAGCCGTCCTCTAAACTGTCTGACCGAACCCTCTTCTCGAGGGTTCAAGAGATTAAGCCGTGGATACGTAGTTCGCTTTACCGGACTCAAGCCGTCAAGCGGTTGGCTTCCCATCTACCAGTGTCATTCTACTGGTTGGGGTTGGCATGCTGAGGCGGTGAGGTGGGCCTGACCCTGATGCAAATATCCATCCCGTCCACTTTGGCTTGGCCCAACCAGCGTATGTCCAGTCCACTCCACTCCACTCCAGAGAGCTCTGGAACACCGCACCGCGCGCACCACTCTCTAGAAACCACCACGTCCTTCTCTTCTTCCTCACCTCCCTCGTGACCTCACCCCACCTCACCTGAATTTAAGCACGCGCCACCGCCACCATTCCCCTGCACTGTCGCACTGACCACCGTCTCACCTCATCACTGCTTTCTGTTTCGCTCGTCATCATCACCAGCTACTCCAGCCGTCTCGGGAGCGAGGGAAGGAGCACCAACGATGCAGTTCGCGGCACTCTCCAACAACTTTCACCCCGCCGTCGCCACCACGTCGTCCCCCGCCCCTCGTCGTGCGAGCTGGCCCAATGCACGACCCTTGTCGTCGGTGAGGGTCCGGTCCTCCTCCATGAGGAACGGCGGCAATGGCTCTGCCTCCACCGATAGCCTGGACCACCTGCAGAGGGCGTCAATGGCCAGGCAGCGGCGGCAGCAGGGGAGCGCTCCAGGTCCACGGCCTAGAAGGGTCATCCACACCACACCGTTCGGTGAGTGCGCGCGTGTCCTCAACTTCTGATGATGAATTCATGATATTCCGGTAGCAATTCATCACCAAATCGAATCGAATTTCTTTCTTGATGCCTGACAGGGCTGTGGGACAGCTTCCCGGAAGCGAGGACGCTGGACCAGATGGTGCGGACCATGGAGCACATCATGGACGGCGACGACGACGCCCGTTTCGGCGTCGTCGTGCCGGCAGCAGCGGCGGCTCCCACCGCCGTGCCGCGCGGCCGACAGCGAGCGGCGGGGGCGGACGCCGTGGGAGGTCAGGGAGCGCGCGGGGGAGTACCTAGTCCGGTTCGACATGCCCGGGATGGCTCGGGACGACGTGCGGGTTAGCGTGCAGGACCGGACGCTCGTCGTGGTCGCCGAGAAGAAGCAGCAGCCTGCTGCTGCTGGCGTTGTCGAGAAGCAGGAAGCGGAGGAAGCGGCAGGCGGCGATTATGAGGAGGGAGACGAGGAGGAGGAGGCGTGGCCGGCGGCGAGCTTCGGGCGGTACAGGACACGGGTGGAGCTGCCGGAGAACGTGGACGTGGAGAGGATCGGCGCGGAGGTGAGGGACGGCGTGCTGTACCTCACCATACCCAAGCTGTCGGCGGGGGGCAAGGTCGTCAACATTCAGGTACACTGAAGTGAAGTCACGAGCTGCTGCTGCTCTGAATTCTGAAACGGGACGGATCAGATTCAGGACGATGAGCACCTGCTGCGTGCTGCTCTGCTTCTGGATGGACGAGAGCGACAGCGATCTACGGAGTAGCTACTACTACTCTTCCTCTTCTTCCTTTTTTGTTTTTGTTTGCTTGCCACATGGTGAATTTTGGTACCACAAGGTGTAATTTTTGAGCTGTTTCAAACAAATTCCAGAATCAGGGCTCCTTTGATCAAAGGAATTTCATAGGAAAAATGTAGGATTCTTTCTTCCAAAACTCCTTTAGGTCCCGTTTGGTCGGGTTTCTTCACCGATTTCAGGAGCCGTTTGAAGCCGTTTTCTACCAAACGGGGTAAAGTAAAATAGCTTCACTCGTGAAGTCCCTAAAAACATGCTCTCACAATGATTTGGGGTGGGATGGAGCCAAAAAAAAGTGGCTTCTCCCGGCTCCTCCTCCAAGCCCCTAAAAACATGCTCTCACAGGGAAGCTATTTTGCCAAACGGTTTACCAAAACCGCTTCAGCTCCACCGGTGGAACTGTTTATGGAGTTGAAGCAAAAAAAAAATTAGCTTCACTAGTGAAGTAAAGCCCTACCAAATGAGGCCTTAGTTTGTAGGATTGAGGCGTAGGAATTTTGGAGGAAAGAAAACGTATGAAAACAAACATCCAGTCAAGCTCTTGTTTTGCATAGGACCAAGGCAAATCACTGGCGAAGACAAAGAGGCCGTTTGGCAGGGCTCCGCGAGCGGCTCCGGCTCCTGCCGAAGCCCTGCCAAACAAGTGACGGGAGGCCCCGTTTGGCAGGGCTCTTCACCGGCTTCAGGAGCCGTTTAGAGCCGTTTTCTACTAAACGGGGTAAAGTAAAATAGCTTCACTTGTGAAGCCTTTAAAAACATGCTCTCATAGTGATTTGGGTGGGGATAGAGCCAAAAAAGTGGCTTCTCCCGGCTCCTCCTCCAGGCCCCTAAAAACATGCTCACAGGGAAGCCATTTTGCCAAACGGTTTACCAAAACCGCTTCAGCTCCACCGGTGGAACTGTTCGTGGAGCTGAAGCAAAAAAAATGGCTTCACTAGTGAAGTGAAGCCCTGTCAAACGGGGCCTAAATGAGCTGGAGGCCTTTTTCTATTACGCAGACGGAGGCACAAAACCAAGCTCCTCCTGGCTCCTTCCTCGGGGCGTGAAAGGACGCGGTGGCCGGTAGCAGCCCGGTTCCCTTGCGTACGCGTGCTTTGCCTTACCTAAAGAAGAGGAGCTTGTAGCAAGAATATGAGAAAAGATAGGGTTCCTAATATAAAAGTATAAGAGAAAAATAAAACAAAAGGTGGCTTCAATAATTTAGAAATAGGCTAGGGTTCCCAATGCAAAAGTGACTATTAGCATCTTCTTCCTACTTAAATAGATCAAATTCATCTCATATTTGTAAAATACATAATAAATCACAGAGATATAAAAAAAATAGTGAAACCAATTTTTTAGATTGGGTTTAACTAGATCTGTACCATAGTAAAATAACAAGTGAGGGTATTATAGATATTTTCCATCTTTCATCTATTAAGAAAAACAGGAGGACGGCTTTTAGTCGGAGAATATTTTTCAAAAGCGGCTTCGACTCATTTTCAGAGTAGCCAGCCACTTTTCAAAGAAACCAAAGATTACAGCTGTTTTCGCTACTCCGGAGGAAAAAAAAAATGCATGTGATTAGAGAGAAAAGCTGGTACTCTACTCCGATGCATGGGGACTATGGATGGAAACAACCAGAAGGGTTCATGGATACTCTGCTCCCGATGCATGGAAATGAGTGGATGGAAACGACCAGAGTGGGTTCATGGGTAGTATTTCCTAAGGTTATTTGTCTTTGCTCAAATAAAGTATTTTGTTATACTAGTTGAATAAACTAACATGAGGATTAGATATTTCCTAAGGTTGCTATTTCTACAAATTTCATGTGTCCATCCAAACAACAACTACTACAATTTTCATGTGTTTTCTAATCCTCAGTTTTACATATGCAATCCTATCATATTCCTACATTTTTTCCTATTCCTATGTTTTTCCAATCCCGTGTTCTAAAAGAGCCCTCAAAACAAGAGAATCTAATCAAAAGCTTTGTCAAACGTGTGCACACAAAAACACTAGCCTGTTAGATTTATGATCAAAACTTGCCATGCCGTAGATTAGGCATATCGTGGGTTTTTAGATATGTGTTTGGTTCATGCCATAATTATAACTTTCTTAGCTATACGTTCCATATGTCATATACTCCTTCCGTCTACAAAAAAAATGCAACTATAGGATTCGTGACGGTCAAACTAGTTAAAGTTTGATCAAATTTATAGTAAATAGTATTAATGTTTATATCTCCAAACAAATTTATTATAAAAATATATCTTTATAACGAATTCAATGATACTTGTTTTGTATCATGAATATTAATATTTTTTATATAAATTTAGTCAAAGTTTAAACTATTTAATTTCTTGAAAAGCGATAATTGTTTTTTTTGTGTGGACGGAGGGAGTGTGTGTTTAGTTCAAGTATAACTTTCTTAGCAATATGTTCCATATGTCATATATGTGTTTGGTTCATGCCATAAGTATAACTTTCTTAGCTATACGCTTCATATGTCAGAGTTCAGTTTGATGCTAAACTTTGCCATAAATGTGATATCAGATTTGTTAGCCACACTCTATAAATGCCACCTTAGTTGTGACAAAGTTATGTATCAACCAAACAGTCTCTACAACAAAAAAAAAGGATAATACCACTTTATTGTTTTTTTAAAAGTTCAAGTCCTATTAAATCAGACTAAAACTAAGAGAAGGCAATCAAACTCTGGGCAATTTATAAGAACTTAAACGGTGGAATTAGGTGTTTCTTTGATGAACTTTCTACGTTAGATGGGCTATGTTCCATTTCTGTCTTCACAAAAGCTCTGCCCTTATGAGCATCTCTCTAACCGAGTCCTAAACAACCCTTATTTTACTTTTTGGTTCTAGAAAATAGACTTAATTTAATAGTAGTGCCTCAACTCAAGTTTCTACTTTATGGAGGCCTCTAAATCTCGGAAAAAAATTGTATGCGGCGGTGTCACATTTTAACATACCGTGCGACACCGGCCCTCAGCACTGCGGAACAGTGGGATTAGCTTCATCTCTGTGGGCCCGGCTATTATGACGAGGGTTCAGATTTTTTGAAGTGGCATATAATTTTGTTCCCTAAGTCTCTCTCCCTCACCCACATATCTTAGGGATACGTAGAGAGATGTCAACTCAGTGGCATACGTCTTTTTTTTCCATCCTAACTTTCTCCCGCACCGCCGCCTTATTCCTCTCGGCTGGTATTTAAGCCGGCTGAAGCTGATTTGTTGTGAGAGAAAAATACTGTATATTCTAGCTGATAAGCCGGCTGACAAGTTCAAGTGAACATGCCCTTATTCCTCTCTCGGTGCGGCTCCCTCGGCAAAGCCCTCGACCCGGTGCGACTCTCCTCCATGCCCATCTCAGCCTAGTGAGGTTCTATTTAATGTGGCTCCTCTCCCCTCGGCATGTCACTCAACCCCACGGTCCCATCTCCAGTGCTCCTCGCGCTCGGGCCCATCAAAATCCCGCAGCTCGGTCGGCCTTGATTTGAGGGCTCATGTTAGAGTAGATGAAAAAACAAACTCTAACAAAAGATAAGAGAAACTCTCAAATCAAACGTATGGAAAAGGGGTCCATTGTTCTTCAAGCCGCTTGAGTATACGATGTTACGATTATGTCATCCTTTCTCTTCCACATTTTCCATACATATCATTCCTTTTCTTTCACGTAAATAATAAGTCACACAAGTCACTTAAGTGATTTAATTCTAATGGATCTTTTTTTTTGTCTTTTTCATGTTGTAGGAAGAAATGTCTATATCTCGTTCATCTCCATCCTCCATTCCTCCTCTTCTTCACTCTTCACCTCCCTCCTCCGATCCGCCTCTATTCACTCCGCGGAGCTCCAGCGCACAGGGAGAGGCAGCGCCCACATTGGGTCCACCCATAGTGACACTCTTCCAACATTCTATATACTTACAAATACTTGTTCGATCGGCCACCTTCCATAGCTCAACAAATATACTAATCAACCGGGGCTGCTGCCGGCAAACGCTAAAACACTCTCCAAATGAGTAATGGGGCAACTCGCCTTACGCAAAGGAAACCAAGGCCCTATTTAGAACCGTGTTTTCCACAGTGACGGCCGGGGACATCACATAATCCCAGCTTGATTTCCGTCACCCCACAACAGACTCAACCACTAAGCTCACTACCGTACTAAACTAGCAAGAAGATTTAGATTTTACATATCACGGGTGTGTCACCGTGGCTCGCACACCATACTGCACGATCTCGATCAAACAGGACCAAAACAAGAGATCCACTGATCCAGCATTTTATCTCGATTCACCCTTTTTAAAACAGATTGATCGCTGCCGACCAGTCGGATGGAAACCCTGTGCCGACCCCCCTCCCGACCCGCACGCTAATTTATTCAGAAGCAAGCCGAAACTGCTGTTGGGCCACAAGATACGTGCAGCCCAGCTTGTCTGTCCATTCGCCGCTCTCCTTGTCTCTCTCTCCGGTCCATTCCTGTTTGTTTTCAGAACCACCTACGTACATACTACGTGGATTGGATGTTTCGAGAACTCACTGTGTTTGACTTTTTCGCTTTTTTTCTTTCTTTCTTCTATCGCTGTTTTATCTTTCTTTTTTTACCCTGCTTGATGTTCGGTAGATGCGGGTCTTTTGTTTTTTCTATTCTTTTTCGTTTTCGTTTTCCTTTTTCCTTTTCTCTTTGTTGTTTTATTCTTATTTTTATTTTTAGTCTTTCTTTTATTTTCCTTTGTACATTTTTCTTTTTTTTTTTCCTTCTTTGATTTCCTTTTTTTTTTCTTTTTTTTTATTATATGGCATTTGATTCGTCTTTTCATATTTTCTTTCTTTTCATCTTATATTA